AGTGTGCAGTAAAAGTCCGTATATTTAAAGAGGGCCGGGTGACCCAGTGTTCCAATTATCGTGTTACAACTCAGCGGTCACTCCCAGGAAATGCTTGTGCCGACTTTTCTTGGGCAAGCTGACGCGGGCTGTTGGCTGGAGATTTTGCCAAAATCAAGCAGGCTTCAGGATAGGGTAATGTTGTCCTCCTACGTTTTCCGCCTGCGTCTGCGTTTTTAAGCAGTGCTGACGATTCCAGTTGCGTTAGCTTGTTGGTTTCCCCGACTTCAAGATTGCACTGGATTCACTACGTCATTCGACGCTGTGGAAAATCTTGTAATGTTACGGCGAACCTAAGCTCATCGTGGCTTTTATTTTGGAAGAGATGCGTACGGCATGAACCATGTCTGCTGTCGATCTTGAATGAAAGCTATCTGATTTGTTCTCGGCTAACTGTGCAGTTCGCGACGGAGATATGCTTTCGCCTTTGCTAGTCGGCACTCTTTGTCTTCTTCTCCTTCTTCATCTTCCATGGCCGCTTCTCTTTTTGGGTCGCGGAGGCAGATGCGTCAGGTATAGCTCCCAACGTTACCGATCCAGTGCCAGAGTCTGAGCTTCGGCAGGAGACATCTGGTCGTCATAACTCTTCTGGACTTTATTTTCTGATGAGGGCTGACCGTCACAACGGTGGCGAAGGTGTCATTTTTGAGAAATGGTGCTGTTCAAAATATCCGGCTATATATCTTGGTGATTTGGAGTTCGCGACGATGTTGTCCATGCGAATAGTAAGGGAAATGGACTCTATCTGTTATCTGATGGCTTGCGTATTCAACACAGCTGCGACAGTCAGCTTTTTTCCTTAACGCCCGAAAATCAAATGTTTTTAGTCACCAGTCCGGTACAGTTGATTGATTTACAAGTGAAACTTAGGGACCCTTCAGAAAGTTCACAAGTGTAAGTATCTCCGCTCGATCATCTCCAGCAATGGCACTCTCCAGCCAGAGTTAAATTTTCTTGAGGATTGCCCAGACTGGAGTGCTTTGGAAACCTGTCTCATTTTTGGGCTGAAGACTGAATTTTTTCTTTCCATAAAAATCCGCCGGTACCTTGCCTCTGTCAAGTGAATATTAGTTGACGGCATGGAGACAGTTTTTCTAACGA